TGATTCTTCTGATGAAGATGAACTAGAGGAATATCTTCGAAAACCTGTGGTTAATTTTAAAACTAATCCACTACAATGGTGGAAAGTAAGTAAATTTATAGCGTGTAGCAATTTTTTTTTATGATATATAGTTTAACTAATATAACTATGTGTATTACACAGGCACACGAAGTTACTTATCCACATCTAGCAACTATGGCTCAGGATTTTTTAGCAATTCCAGGTAAATACAATAATAAAACATAAATTTTATTTAATATTTTTCCTTTATTGACAAAACTAACATATAGTTTCAATAATAGGAACCAGTGTGCCTGTTGAGCGGGTCTTTTCTAGTGGGGCTGACCTGTTGGCAAAAAAACGTTATAATTTAGGAAAAGAATCAATCCAGGCGTGCATGTGCCTTAAGAATTGGTTAAATTCGATAATTTAATTATAGTTAATTTTATTGTTTATTTGCTTTAATAAATTTAATAAAAGAAATAATAATTTTGGGACGAAAAAGAAATTTTCCAGATATATTTTCCATTAACAAATGCCAAATAATTGAAGAAAAAATTAGCGTATAAGTTAACAATTACTTACCTTTTTCCTTTTGTAGGTACCGGATCATTCTACAAGGTAAGTTTATGTTTTTTTAAAAAAATATAAAAAAAAAAATTTAATTAAAAAATTATTTTATTAGGACTTACCTCATCCAAAGATTCTACGGTTAGAGGTTCCGGATCTGTCTACAAGTTAATATTAGTATTTTTTAAAAAATAAAAAAAAAATTTAATTAATTTATTGCATTAGGACTTACCTCCAATCCAAAGATTCCACGGTTAGAGGTTCCGGATCGGTCTATAAGGTAAGTTAATGTAAATATTTCTTGTTAAATTAAAAAAATTAAAACTATTTCATTAAGACTTACCTACAATCAAAGATTCCACGGTTTAAAAGGTTCCGGAAGCCTTGGATCGATCGGATCAAAGGCGTGTCCTATAGGGGAAAGGTAAATATTAGTTTATTTTTAATTTATTAAAAAAATTAAATAATTACTTACCTCTTTCTCTTTTTGTAGGTATCGGAAATCTGGTCTGATCAGTTCGGAGATGAGTCCTACGAAAGAAAAGATAAAGTTATTAATATATATTTTTTTTAATTAAATAAATTAGAAAATACTTACCTTTATCCTTTTTGTAGGTGCCGGATCGATCGGATCAAAGGCGTGTCCTATAGGGGAAAGGTAAATATTAGTTTATTTTTAATTAATTAAAAAAATTAAATAATTACTTACCTCTTTCTCTTTTTGTAGG